CCTGAAAACACGTACAGCGCATTAAAATAATTTGATACGATTGCAATTATATTTTTTTTTTTGTTATTTAAATATAATCATTTCAATATCCAATTCATTCCATTTCGTTTCGCTTTATGCGCTCATTTTAATTAACAAATTATAATTAAACACGTTTTATAACGCATTTAATTAATGTTTAAACGTATTTTGTTCTTTCAAGTATGCATTGATACGTTAATTGACTTTTTTAATGAATTATTATACTATAATGCATTTGATTGAATTACACAGAACAAATTGATTTATTGTAACCAAATATTTAGTTTATTTCAGGCTTGATATAATGATTTATAGAGAATACATTTAGCATTTGCTGAAGTGTTGTTTATTCACATTTGTGTTTGTATTCATTTTATGGTGAAATTCCTGAAATTGTGTACTTTTATATTTATGAAAGCATTTGCTGAAATATTAGTCTTTCAGATATTGAAATTTTCAGATTTATTTTCGAATTCATAAAGTATTTACTGAAGTAATGTTGTTTCAAATGTAAGAATAAAGAATTATTGTAAAAGTAATTCCAATTTCTGTTTTTTTTGAACTATTTTATTAGTAAATACATCAAGTATTTACTGAAATGTTGTTCTTTCAAATTAATATTTGCAAAATATTAAAAAACAAACTGACTTTATTTTATAAAATAATTGTTTCAATTGCTAATTAATGAACTTCTGTGTTTTAATTGCTTTATTGTTAATTAACAGCTATTAATGTATGTCTTTGAAGATGTGAATTTCTATTTGTATTTGGTGGAGCAAATCAAATGGAAGCGACTTTGTATTTCCTTGGATCATCGCGAACTGAACTTTAGCTGTCGTCGAGTCGTGTTGCGATAACGCGCGGAACTGAGGTGAATTTGTGCGTAAGTTAATGGGAGGTTTAATTAACATAATAGACGTAGTGTGAGGGTGGATGAATTGGTCCATGCAAACCCGTTGGGGATGCGGACTAAAAACGCGACTTAATTAACACACACACTGCGGGGGTATGAACATGGCAAGAAGGTTTTCCGCTGACATTGTTTGAATTAATTTTATTACATAATATTTACAACAGTCTTAATGGTTTTGGAAATTAAGAGGTACACAATTACGAGCGATAACGTCGCGCCGGATCTGGATGCCTTCGAGTAGGCTGCGTCCCTCTGCATCGCTTCAGAATGTTCAGCTGAAACAGAATATTTACATTTTCAGTTAACAAAAATATCTATTCAGCATTAATTAAATTAGTGAAAACAAAATTCCCTTCGCTTTGAACCAAAATTCGATATGTATATATATTTTTTATAAACGTAGTCTTCTCTTGGTAACAATAGGGCAACTATATCCGCCGCTCGTCCGCAAATGTTTAAATTAATTCTGAATCTAACAAACATGTGATTTCAGTAAATTACATTAGGACTTTACAATATACATTATTAAAAAGGTGGTTTCGTCAAATAAAAAAGACGATATACAAGTATGATATAAACAATTTCATAAATTATGTTGAAATTATTTTAAGTTTTTTGGTATATAAATAATGAAAAATTACATAATAAAAATAATTTGTATAATTCTTGTAATTTACTAAATATATAATAATTAGAATAAAATGAAGTAAGTAAAAACTTAAAAACAGTTGAATAAAGTTCTAAAACTAGATTATTTTGGTTTTATATTTATATACGTTATTATGATAAAAACAGATGTTTTGGAAATTCTTTGGTTTATGAGAATAATTCTGAGAAAGAAATTGTAAAATTGTGTGGTAAACAAAGAGGTTCTTGGAAAATGCGTTAATTTGTAAATTTGAAATATTACAATAATTCCATAAATCGTAACTTACAAAAATGAATATAAATTATTATAATATTGCATCCATTCTGCACCAAATTCAATTAGTTAATTACAAAAGTTTTTTTTACAAATACTTCAAAAATTTCAACTTTATTTAATATTTATAAACGATATAAAATATTACAAATCTTTTCCTGTTTTCTTGTAAAAAAAAAACATGGAAAAAATTACAGTTTATAAAAATATAAAATTTTATAATTCCATAAAAAAAGTAAATCTAACAAATTTAAATTTATTTATTTGCATATTTTATCAATATTTCAATTCATAATAATATTTTTGTTCATAATCAATGCATATTTTAAACTTTTATGCTTTTAGAATTTTATATATTTTTTTTTTCATAATTCCCTTAGATAGGTAAAGCGTGCTCATAATTACTTGAAATTACTTGAATTATGTTGAAATTATTTTAAGTTTTTTGGTATATAAATAATGAAAAAATACATAATAAAAATAATTTGTATAATTCTTGTAATTTACTAAATATATAATAATTAGAATAAAATGAAGTAAGTAAAAACTGTAAAAACAGTTGAATAAAGTTATAAAACTAGATTATTTTGGTTTTATATTTATATACGTTATTATGATAAAAACAGATGTTTTGGAAATTCTTTGGTTTATGAGAATAATTCTGAGAAAGAAATTGTAAAATTGTGTGGTAAACAAAGAGGTTCTTGGAAAATGCGTTAATTTGTAAATTTGAAATATTACAATAATTCCATAAATCGTAACTTATACAAAAATGAATATAAATTGTTATAATATTGCATCCATTCTGACCAAATTCAATTAGTTAATTACAAAAGTTTTTTTTACAAATACTTGAAAAATTTCTACTTTATTTAATATTTATAAACGATATAAAATATTACAAATCTTTTCCTGTTTTCTTGTAAAAAAAAAAATGGAAAAATTACAGTTTATAAAAATATAAAATTTTATAATTCCATAAAAAAAGTAAATCTAACAAATTTAATTTATTTATTTGCATATTTTA